CAACCCCCCCCCCCAAAAAAAATGCACACAGTAAGAGAGACATTATAGGCACTAGAGACCAATGAAGGGTGACCTGGTTGCCTGGTTTGTATTGATCTTGATCTTTAGAAATAATGTCATTCTCTTTTAAGGAGAAAGCAGAATCTATTGGCTATCTCAGGAGTTAGAAAATTCTGATTTAAAAATTTCTGCGGACATAGTACTTTACTTCCTTCTGAAATAAAAAAATAGGGTGATTTATCTCTGAGCTAAAAATAGAAGTCCTTTTTTTTGAGGACTTAGCTTTTATTAGACATTGGACTTAGAGCCATTTAAGCTTGGGATAGAATTATTAGTAGCTGAGAGCTGCCATCTTTAATACTTTTTGCCTTTGCAGGGTTTGTTTGCATCTGTAGTCCTGAGCAGTACTAAGGTTAGGGTTTTAATGGGTGGCTTGGGTTATACAGTATTCGCTCTGGAAGGTATTTAGTCTGATCGCCTTATTTTATTATTGGTGAAGAAACTTTGGCCAAGAGAGGTTGATTCTCTTGCGTGAGATCACGTGATTTGTGGCAGAGCCAGGATGTAAATTTGGAACTTTTGATTCTTTTAATTCAGTTCTTTTCCCTCACAATTTTATCTCACCTCTCCACTTCTATTTTCTGAGATATGGACATGGCTGCATAATAGTAAGTGATTCCAATAATGTTCTGTAGTCACTGCATATATTAATATAAATAATAATAATGATGATAATGTGTCATGTTTGTGTTTATTTTTTCAAAACTTGTATAGCTTATTGTCTGCTACTGTTAGTTTTATTTACAAGTGATCGGGCTGATTCATCAGCCCATCTATCCTTTTGAATAAAGCGTTGTTAGGCAACATAACTTAAATAGCCGGTTTGGGGATAATTAGAAATTTGAGGCATGACTCAGGTTGTGTTTTGGCATTTTTCATACCACATTCTCCCCTTTTTTGATCAGTAATGCTTCCAATTTAAAGTTGTTAACTTGACTCAGTTAAACTGTGGATCCTTTCATTTACCTTGACCTTTCTCAGTTGGATATATCTGAAAAAATGGAAAGGCTAACAAGCAGTGGGTGAGAGGAAGAAAGTAAAGAAAAATCTTGAGTAATCCATAAATGTAATAATCAACTCTTGAATACAGCAAGACTGAGCTATACTTAGCTTTATTGAATTTTAAATGCTCTAATTATAATATTTTAAGTAGGAAAATAACTTCATTTTCTGTCATATCCAAATTAGCATGAATATTCTTTAATGCCCTTTATTCTATGTTTTGTAAAGGAATGATTTTACATTTGTTTTCCATTTTAAGGCTTTTAGTTTCTACTGTGTTCTGTTACTCTTGTGCATCCAGTTTGATAACTATATTTCCTTAAGAAAATCACAACTTTGATCATGATTGATTAACTACTTTTCGTTCAGTGTAAGGAAAGGTGAAAGTAGAAAAGTAGAAGCATAGTCTTTTTTTTTTTTTTTTTTTTTAAAACAGTTCGGGATTGGTGCAATGCTTTCTTCAGTGATGGGCCTTCCATAGTACTTGTCATTTACTCAATGCAGTGATTCTTGACCAGGAACAATTTTGTCCTCCAGGGGATATCTGGCAATGTCTGGAGACAATTTTGATTGTTATAACTAGGAGAAATCCCACTTGTATCTTGTGGGTGGAGGCCAGGGATGCTGCCAAATGTTCCATCGTGCATAGGACAACCCACACAATAAAGAGTTATGTGGCCCAAAATGTCAGTAGTACTAAGACTGAGAAACTCTCATGCATGGGCAGTTGTGCAGTGAAGTTTATTGAGTTAAAAAATATATCCGTTCTATTACATGAGCCTAAGGCTTTATGGATTATTTTATATATGTATTACATACCAATTTGATGACTCAAGGGAGAATTTAGCTCTTTGCTTCATTATGATTAAGGTATTAAAATTGTGGCAATTATAATTGATTATAGGTTAGTATACTTAGTTGAAATAGTATGTTAGTAATCAAATGCTGATCAACAGGAGGATTCAGTGTTCTCCTCTTATACTTACCTTTTCCCTCAAGCTTTTCAGCTTCTTGGAATCAATATTGTGTATCATTACCTGCAATATTGCCACTGAGATCTGACATAATCAGTTTTTTGAAAAACTTAATTATCTAGATGTCTAAATCAGTAGTTAATCTTTATGATCCCTATCCTACTATATTTTACTTAATCTCATTTTTTGAATTTAGGTCTGAGATACTAAATAAAATCTGCTGAATCCAATAGCTAGCAAAACAGGCCTTCAGCATCATGCAACAAAGCTGGGGTGGCTCCCTCGGTATGCATAAATGTAAATTATAATAGAAATGTTTGCCATGTATACATCACTTTTAATCCCATTTTATACTGTTTTTTATTTCTGTTGACCTTATTCAATTTGGACAAAACTGTGTATTTTAAAAAGGAGATAGATCCTTAGTAGTTTTTTTGGTGGGGTGTGAAGGATAGAAGGGAGATGACTTATAAAGGAAGAATATTAAAAAGCACTTCAGTGCCTTGTGGTAACTTGTTGAGTTTTCTTCTTAAATATTTGTAAGTGCCACCATTATCTGGAAGATTAATGGATGATTATATCTGATACTCTTTATAGCAATACGGTTCTTATCAGAAGAACCCGAAGCTGCTGAAATAATTGTAGGTACTGTTTCTGCTATTTCTTCCTTTTTATGTGGTGTTTTTTTGTTTGTTTGTTTGTTTGTTTTTGGTGGAGACTGGGTCCTGCTATGTTGCTCAGGCTGATGTCAAATCCCTGGCCTCCAGCAATTCTCCAGCCTTGGCCTCCCAAAGTGCTGGGATTACAGGTGTGAATCACTGCTACTTGCCTGTTTTGTGGTTTTAATTGAACATGACCTGTTGAACTTTCAATCTAAGAATTTCATCTGATGCGACATACCTGAGAGGCTTTTAGGATTTATAATATTTTTCTTAGTATTTGTGGCAACCAGAGTGGAAGCAAATTCTAGGTAGATTTAACTGCCAAAGGGTTTGGAATTGGGAAACATGAATGATTTTGATATGATTTCTGAGTTTTGGCATTAAAAGTTGCTTGGAGTGATCCCTTAGCAATGATAGCATTCCCATCAGTCAGAAATAGCCTGTGCTTTAGCAAACAGGAGGCTGCCAGCATGTGAAGTTAGTTAGTACATGATAGGTTAGGTGAGGTTAAGAAGAAATAAAGAGATAGTGTTATACCCAGAAACTGTGTGGTAGTGTCAGAGAGGTGTTTCATGTGTGTTTCAACGTGATAGATCTACTGTACTCTTCTGTTTTTAAAAGAGAAAAAAAAATAGTACATTTGCCACCCCCAACACCCCTGCAGTAGTTTTTACTTGTAGCAGTTCTGAATCCTGGCAACATACTAAAATTACCCGTAGAGTTTTAAAAAATTGCTAAGGGACAAACTTCATTCCTAGCAAGTCTAAGATAACAGACCTGGGCATTAGTATTAGGATTTCCACAGCTAATCTAACTTGCAACCAAGATTAAGAAACACTGCTTTATAGCAGTGCATCAGAATTTCCTGCAGGGCTATTTATTAGGTCCGGGCTAGGGCTTGAGAATTTGCTTTTCTAACAAGTTCCCAGTTGATCTTACTAGTAAGGCATCATATTTTGAGAATCATCATGAAGGCAGTCTTAAAAAATCATTTGAGTGTAACTGATGGTCTGATAGTCACTGTTTTTTGAAAAATCGTTGCTGGAGATATGTAGTTGGGTTAAAATTAAAATTAAAGAATAGCATTATGTATGTGGTTCCTTTTATGCTAAAAAGATTGATCTTTTTGTATTGTTTGCATGTTTTTACAATGAGCATTTTAATTTTTTTTTTTTTTTTTGAGATGGAGTTTCGCTCTTGTTGCCCAGGCTGGAGTGCAATGGTGTGATATCAGCTCACCACAGCCTCCGCCTCCGAGGTTCAAGTGATTCTCCTTCCTCAGCCTCCTGAGTAGCTGGGATTACAGGCATGCACCACGATGCCCGGCTCATTTTATGTTTTTAGTAGAGACAGGGTTTCTCCATGTTGGTCAGGCTGGTTTCAAACTCCCAACCTCAGGTGATCCACCCGTCTCGGCCTCCCAGAGTGCTGGGGTTACAGGCGTAAGCCACTGCGTCCCACCTTACATTTTATTTAAATATTTTCTTGGCGGAAAAAGCCACATAAATAATAACTAAAAATTTTATAGTATTTAATAGTTTTAAAAGCTGACCAATTTGCAATTATTAGTAGAGTAGCCTTTTTGAACTATTTAAAATAACTCATGGTTGTGCTTTTTTTTTTTTGAGTTAAACCCCATCCTTTGAGAATCCAAATTTCAGGTTTTATGTTTTATATAGTCTCTTTAGGTATCTTAATGGAAGTAGCTCAAATAAAAGGATTCATCTGCATTCAACAGAAATTTTATGCATCCTCAGTTTGGTTAGTTTGTTGTTAAGATGAAGGAATATTTCCTTTTTTCTATTCTTAAATATGCTGGGAAACACAGAACTATACAATGGGAATAATGAAGTGGAAACAGAGAGGGAGAGACAGGGTTGGGGTAAGGTTGGAGGAAATGGAAATTTCCAGGCTCGGAAAGAGAGCAGCAGTAGCAGCAGGAGGAGGTGGCCTGTGACCTCTAGGAATGAAGGATCAAGGGGATGGATATGAGAGAGCTCCTGGATTCAGGAGCTTGGCCAGAGTTACAGAGCTGTTAAATGGAAGAGCCCATTCCCACATCTGGATCTCTGAGGCTCCTGGGTCCATTTTGTTTTCTGCAAAAATGTTAGGTAAAGGCAAGGAGGAGAGTCAGTTCTGATGAACCAACTCTGCAACAAATGGAGCAAGTGATCATTTGGTGACAATTATGAATCCTGAAAAAAGTCTCTAGATGATATTGGCTTCTTTGCTGCTATATTTGGATATTGAAAATGTGTAGTCTTGAACGACAGCTTCCCATGTGACTTTTTGTGTTTTTCAGAAATCATCCTCATCCTTTGATCACTGTGCTTGAACACAGACCTGATTGCTGGCCAGTATTTTTACAGCAGCTGACAGCGTTTTTCCAGCAGTGCCCTGAAAGGTAATATGAAATTAAAATGTAAAATAAAGTGAGGGAGACAGAATGGTATATGCCCATTTTAGAGCTAGAGTTTTTTTTGTTTTGTTTTGTTTTGTTTCTTTTTAGCTGCTTTGATCTATAATGTTTTCTCCTGAAGAAACATCCTAGAGCAGGTTGTAGTTTTCTATTTTCTTTTAAAGAGTAAAAGAAAAAAAATACCAGATTTATTGGTTGTTGAAATGTTGAATATGAGAAAAGCTGTTATTAAAGAAGTTAAACATTGGTAAGTGGTTAGGGAAGTTGGCTAGAAAAATTCAGTAAGCTACATATCTTCTGTGTACACTGTACATATAGAAGATAGGTTCTTCCCCCTGGAAATTGGCTAATAAGTTAGTCTCTCCATTAGAAAACTGCCAATTGGGATAAAGTATTACTGCCAAGTGGGATCAAATAGCCACCATATGTGCAGTTAGTGTACTTTCACCAAGGCCTCTTGATGGTCCTCAAAGCTACTCCCTTTTCTTCTATCCTTACTACCATGACACTGGTTCAGGGCCTCATTATCTCTTGCTGTGGCTCTTGCCACCTGTTCATAACTGGTGTCTCTGCCTCCAGTCATGTCCTGCTCATATCCATTCTCTAAACATTCCTCAGAAGGATGTATCAAGAGAGTGAATCTTACAGTATCACTCCCGTGCTTAAGTCTCTGTGGCCGTGGTTTTCAAACTGCAGTTGCAGTGCATGGGCTAAGCATGGAGCATGTTCCCACCCCTTCAGCTCTGTTTTCATAGCACTTACTTGTTGATATCTTATGGAAGCTTTCTATGGGAAAACAAAAAGGTTTGGTTTCTGAAACAGTTTGAAATTCCCTGCACTACAGGATAAAATCTAATATGTCATAGTAGGCTTAGTAAATGATGTAATTCCAATCTGTCTCACCAGCTTTATCTTTTCTTATCTTCATCTCAGTTTATGCTTTAGCAGTACACTGACTTGCCTTGTGTTCCACACAGGAAGCAGTGCTGTTTCCTTCTCTCCATGTTTTCACTTACTGGTACCTACTGTACTCTCTTGAAACTTACCCCACTCTCTTCCTGATAAATTTCTTTATTTAAAATCTCTGTTTAGGCATTTTTTTGCCCTAGGCTCTTTTCTTACTAGGAGCTGTATTAGGCATGTCTCTTGCATGGTTACATAATACCTTGCAGTTGTGACATTTTCATAATTACTCTCCTCTATAAACTGTGAAACCTTCTTGAGGGCAGGGACTGTGTTTCATATTCTTTGTATTAATGATGCTTGGCACATTTCTACGTGCTTTATAAATGTTGAATTTCTTTAAATGAGGACCTTGGATTAGAAGGGCTCATGAGGACCCTGGATTAGAAGGGCTCAGGTAGTGGTTTGTAGAGTGCCTTAAAATATATAGTATCACTACATACTTAATATCATCACATAAGGTTGTGATAAAGATACCATTATTCTGGGTAATGCCTGAATTATAGTCACCATGCCAGATACATTCATATTTTCTTGCTTTTGAAGGTTTTATAGTATCTTATAAATATAGTTTCTTAGAACACCATTTCTAAGTCCATAACTTCAGTTTTATGTAGAATTTCGAGGCAGGATATACTGCCACTGGAAGTTTTAAAGAGATATAGGGTACTTTGTGTTTTAGTCAGTTTGGGCTGCTATAACAAAATACCATAGACTGGGTGGCTTATAAAAAGCAGAAATTTATTTCTCACAGTTTTGGAGGCTGGGATGTCCAAGATCAAGGTATTGGCAAATTTGGAGTCTGGTGAGGACCTACTTTCTGGTCCTCAGAGGGCCATTTTGTCTCTCTATCCTCATATGGTGGAAGAGGCAAGAGACTTCTCTGAGACCTTTTCTGTAGGGTCACTAATCTCATTCATGAGGGCTCCATTCTCATAATCGCATAATCTCCCAAAGGTCTCACTTCCTAGTATCTTGAAGGTTGGGATTTCAGAATATGAATTTGTGGGGGACACAAATACTCAGTCCATAGCACCTTGTACTTGGCTGCTAGTGAGGAAAATTTATGTTAACAGTTGAATGAATAGCTCAAAACGAACATCATTATCATCCTGTCTTCCCTCATGTAGGACTGCATTTTCAAAGGTAAGACATTAATATTTACTAAATAAGACTTTGTTCAACTCTGTCAGAAACAAACAACAAATCTGAAGAAATTTATAAACACATTTGTTTAATGAAATTTCTCTCTGTTGCTAAATAGATTGAATTGCTTTATAAAAGATGCTGCTGCTGCTGCCACGCTACTTTTGTTATTGAGCTCATTTATAGGTTAATTCTTAAGAATGCATAACTTTTCCAATGCTTTACTTAGTAAATAATAAATGTACTATTTGGTTACTTTTATCTCAAGGGTGTATTATAATTGGGACTTAGAAGTAGTTATTCTAATTTAAGTTGTCTAGATATCATAAGGAAAAAATGTTAATTGACTTTGGTTTATTTACTGTTAAGCTTTTATTGACTCATTTCTTTTACATAAGTTCTCAGGTGTTAGAGTATGCTATCTAGAGCCATTTGAAATTCTAAATTATTTTGTATTTATTTGCAAAGAATAATTTCAATAGCCTCATTTTTATGTTTGTACTATAGAATTATTCCTTGCAGTATGAAATTGATAGTTCTGGCTGCAGACTTAGTTTCCTGAGATATAATTTTAGGGCCAGTTAACTCAGTCTGTTGTTGTTTAGAAGGTAATAGAGCTACTCAGGGTGCTGAGGCTTGAGAATCACTTGAGCCCAGGAGGCGGAGGTTGCAGTGAGCGGAGATTGTACCATTGCACTTCAGCCTGGGTGACAGATTGTTAATTTAATAAGAATATGAGTAATGATTCACAACTTCGGGAAGAAAGCTAAACAGTAGCTAGCTATTTATGTTCATTTTTAATATTATATATATGTCCTAAAATGACAGTATATGTTCATGCTAGATTCATTATAATTATTATTTTTAAGATATGGGAGTCTGCTATGTTGCCCAGGCTGGACATGAACTCCTGGGCTCAAGTGATTCTCCTGTCTCAGCCTTCTGAGTAGCTGGGACTATAGGCATGCAACTCTGCACACAGTATTTAGGTATATTTTATAATTAAGTTCTGCCTTTATTTATTGAAGGCCTATGACTTTAACCTTTCAGGAACTGAGAATTTGAGAATGGTACAAATTGATAATATCATAGATTTTAGGCTGGGTTACTTTAAGATTGTCTAGTCTAACATAATTTTTCAGATGAGAGAACTGAGGAGAGTGACCTTAAATGACTTACAGAAGGTTTCTTGGCTAACTAGTGGTGGAGTTGGGCCTAAAGCCTCCACTTTTTCTTCTTTTTTTGAGACAGAGTCTCACTCTGTTGCCCAGTGCAATCTCGGCTCACTGCAACCTCCTCCCAGGCTCACGCCATTCTCCTGCCTCAGCCTCCCAAGTAGCTGGGACTACAGGTGCCTGCCACCACGCCTGGCTAATTTTTTTGTATTTTTAGTAGAGACGAGGTTTCACTGTGTTAGCCAGGATGGTCTTGATCTCCTGACCTCATGATCCACCCGCCTCAGACTCCCAAAGTGCTGGGATTACAGGTGTGAGCCACTGTGCCTGGTCCAAGCCTCCGTTTTTTACTCTCTCTCTGGGTCTGTTTTTTTTTTTTTTTTTTGTGACTTCTCCCTTAGTGGTGAACATAAATATAAAAGACTTGTGTGTAGGTACATACATAATTGGTTGCGTTTTAAAACATTTTAAATCACTGTGCGATTTCAGATTATCTGTTTTTTTTAATATTCTTTTTTTCCTAAGCCCTGGTAATTTCTTACTCCACTGAAGTGATGATTAATCATCAGATACCACATGGGAAATGCAGAATCTAAAATCAGAACAGATTAAGCCAAGGAGATTTTTAAATAGTATATTGTCCTTAAGGAAGTTCAACGTTTGCCCCTGATGTCAAATCATAATGGCATCTTGGAAATATATTTCTTTATATGAACCTTACATTTCACCTTCAGCATCTCAAAGTAGAAGAAAACGGATAAGCTATCCATGGATGCTGTTGACACTTGGATAGTATTTATTATTTGGGGAATACATTATTAAAGAGAGATAGAGAAGGAAGTTTCTTAAATCTCTTTTCTGGAAACTTTCGCTTTGTATTTTATACATACATTATCTGATTCCTTCATCTATCTTTTTTTAGTTTCCTAAAGTAGAAGGTGTGATAAAGATATATGTTTCAGTAATAATTATGACCTCAAAAGTCCTTTTGATTTTTATAGATTGTATAAGTATTTGAGCTTATGATAAAAAAATTTCTTCAGACTGTGAGCTCTATGAGAGCAGGAACTTAATCTATTTTGATTTCTTGCTTTGTTTCCATCACATAGATGAGTGAGGTATACTGTAGGTGGTCAGTAAATTTTACCAAGTGAATACATTAATGAGTAAAATTTAATTGGCTTGGTAACTTTTACATTTTTATTAATGTTAATGGCATTTTAAAATCACATTGCTATGAAATGTATGGTATTATAAGATTATGTTGTCAAGCATAATTTATCATAATTAAAAAAATTCCCTTTTATTTTAGATTCAGGGGTACATGTGCAGATCTGTTTGAAGGGTATATTGTGTAGTGCTGAGGTTTGGCTTTTTATTGATCCTGTCACCCAGTAGTGAACAAAGTACCTAACAGGAAAATTTTCAGCCCTTGTCCCCACTCCTTCCCACCCTCCTTTTGAAGTCCCCAGTGTCTGTTGTTCCCATCTTTATGTCTGTGTGAACCCAAGGTTTAGCTCCCACTCTTAAATGAGAACAGTCAAACATAATTTAAATACCATTTCTTTCATGAAGCAATTGCACTTTATACCACTCTTTTGGCAGTTTTCACTTTCTGTCACCTAGTTCAGGATTATAACTGATTTTCTCTGTCAGACCGTATGCTTCTTGAGGATAGATAATTCTTATTTCATCTTTGTATCTTATCTAATCATTCCTTATATATAATGTGAAAAACATTAGAAAATAAAATCATGACATTTAATTGCATGCTAATTATAAAACTACTTTGTAACTTAGTGTAACTGAATTAATTAAATGAGTGTCTCTTTGAAGGCCTAGTATATAAAGTTATTGGTGATAATAGCAGTAAACAGAAATCCGTGGCCTCATTTGGTTTATAGTCTGGCAGGGGATACAGATATTAAGTATGTAATGATAACAGCCTGTAGTCTCAGCTACTTGGGAGACTGAGGCAGGAGGATTGCTTGAGCCCAGGAATTCAAGGCTGGAATGCATTATTATTGTGCCTGTGAATAGCCATTGCACTCTAGCCTAGGCAATGTAGCAAGACCCTGTCTCTTAAAAAAAATGTAATGACAATAAAGGCATTGTATCTTAAAAGCCCATCTGATGTTATCTGATGAAGGTGAAGTGTCAAGGAAGGACCTGAGGAAGTCATTTTAAAGCAGATAACTGAAGGATGATAGAAACTAGATAGGAGAAAGAATAGGAAGGGTAGAAGGGGAGAATATTACAGGTAGAGGGAATAGCAAGTGAGAAGAAAGCCCAGATGGCTTGATAAAGACCTGAAGGGACTTTAGTGTGGTTTAGTGGTGAATGAAGAGGAAGAAATGAAGCTGGAAAGATAAACAGAGGCCAAATGATGGAGGGTGTGTGTGAATTGGGCTAGATACTGTTTAGGCTAATGACGTGACCATATTTTTATTTTTGATGATCATTCTGGTATTTTAGTGAATTTGGACTAGGAGTTTTCAGGATATAATGAAATCTAAATAGGTACAAAAGATTTGTAGAGTGGGAAGTGCTTAAGAAGACCTTGACAAATTACTTCACCTCTCTCTCCTTCAGTTTCTTTATCTGTGTTATGAGGATAATATTATTTTTTATTTCATATGGTTGTGAGGATTAAATGGATTTAAAGACGTAAAATGCAGTAACTTGAACACTGTAAGCGTTAACAAGTAAATGTTAACTGTCATCATAATCATCTTGGGATATTTGTCTGGGTTTGTTTTATGTAGATAGATCCTCACCTATGGAGTTTTTTCCAAAAATGCATGTTTGTTTCATACTCCTGGAGAGGTGATCCTGCCATCTGTCATTCTAGAAAGGTTGTCAGGTGATTCTTTTTTTGTTTTGTTTTGTTTTTAAGATGGAGTCTCGCTCTGTTGGCAGGCTGGAGTGCAGTGGCGTGATCTCAGTTTCACCATGTTGGCCAGGATGGTCTCTATCTTCTGACCTCATGATTCGCCCGCCTCGGCCTCCCAAAGTGCTGGGATTTTTACAGGCATGAGCCACCGCGCCCCGCCCAGATGATTCTTATGTTCACTAAAGACTGATTTTGGAGATGTAGTTGCTGTTCTAATGTGCAAATAGAGACTCTCTTCATCCTGAGTATCTAGCTTACAGTCTCCAGGTGTTGAATAATTTTCCTCAGTGTACAAAGAACTGTTTGGCATAGATGTAGGCAGGTCATAGTGGAATAGAAGAATCATAAAAAGAAGTTACACTTGATGATATGGTAGTTTGTGTTATTTCATGAACTATAAGTTGATATTTGCTACTTTACCTGCATGATAGTGTATTTAGCTCATTCACTGGCTAACATATTTCATGTCTTATAGGTCAGAAGTTTCATGCATTCAAATAATGGCACCATTTCTGTGGTATCTGTATTGTGAACCATCTCAGTTACAAGAATATGCTAAACTCCGACTAGCCCTGCTGAAAGTCTTACTTCAACCCCAGGTTCTTTGTGACAAAGATCAACCATCAATACTGGAACAGCAGATACTTCAACTGTGTTGTGACATGGTTCCATGTTTGCAGGTAAGGTCTTCGTCCTCCACAAATACAGCATCGGCATCGGTAAGTGTTGGTATTGTCACAGACAAAGTAGTTCTAGAAAATAAGTGATTTGGCGAACTCAGACATGATCCTCGCTCTAGAAATGCTTACAATCTTTTGGGGAAGATGAAAAAAACAAAATCTAGATTTAACATGAGTGTATTATGTTTGATGTTAACTAAATTCACAGAAATTATAAATCAACATAGTCCATTTTGGGATTAGCAGGCGTGAAAACTTTCCTTTGTTTAAGAAACGGTTATCAGGTAAAAGATTTTGAGTTGAGTTTCTTCTGTGTAGACATTGGGATAGTAAGAAGGAAAAAAAAGACCTCTGTGCACATTGGAAAAAAAAAAAGGGTGTGTCTCAGGGCATAAATAGCTCTGAGGATGCAAAGCCTGGCCAGCTGAGTGCCAGCTAGATTCCAGCTTCCACATGTCCCCTTGCAACATATGCAGCAGCTCTCAGGGATCCTGCTCTTGAGAAGCACACATGTAGTAAATGAGTTAGGACAAGTACTGTACATACATTCTTATAATTCAAAGTAGAAAGATGAAAAGTGGTTGACAGAGGTATGGAGAAAACATGGACACAGTTCAGGGGAAAGAGAAATTTGAGTCATTGTCTCTATAACTGCAAATGAAAAAAAAAAATCCATTTGCCCAGGTGTTGGGATTTTAGTGTAGTGATTCATTTATCAGTCCATCTCTTCCCATCATCTAGGTTTGCTGTTTGCCTGGAATCTGAGCACCATGCTGCTTAGCTGATGGAGGGAATCTGTGAACATATTTCAAAGTGATCACTTGAGGTCACACATGACCTGTTTTAAGTTTGTGTTAGCAAGGAGTGACTAGAGTAAATCTTTCCTTTGCGACTCATAAATAGGCTTTCCTGTAATCAAGGCAGAGAAAATTTAATTAAAATGAATTCTCCTGTGGCTTTTCCAAAGCTCTTGTTTTGTGCGGGCAATAAAGCAATGTTTAGGCAGAACGTCTTGAACTAGGGTACATTTTTCACATCATGGCTGCATTACCGTGTGCTGTGCTCCTTGGCAAAGGTTTGTCTTCATCTTATGAACCTGTGTTGACAAGCTTAAATGCTTTTAGAAATGAGCTCTGTGGAATATTTCTGGGAATCTGTGGCTTTTTAACCTAACAATTATGTGAGAAAAAAGGGAATACATCATTTGGAAGTACTGGAACTAGTGATATTAGCATACTTAATCGGTTTAACAAATCAGTGTTACTAGAATGAAGCATGTGAGGGTTGGAAGTAGTCTTAGAGAGAATATAGTCCATTTCCCACCCAATACAGATGTTTCTTATACTCTCTGGAACATGACTATCTTATGGCTAATTGAATATTGATAGAGGAAGCATACTATTTTGCAAGGCAACCATTTTTTTTTTTAGCAAGTACTTATTGACCTTCATTTTTCTAATTACTCATTCGTTTTCATTCTTCTCAGAAAAGCTTTTATAAGCTTTTAAAAAAACCCCATCTGTATCTTCTCTTGTCTTGTTTTTCTCCCTTCTTTCCTTCCCATTTTTCCTTCCTTCTTTTCTTCCTCACTTCCCTCCCTTCCTTATTTTTTTCTTCACTTTCTTAATCTCTCCATTGCAAATGGTTTCCCGACTTTTCTGTTTTGTTTTGCCAGGAATTTTCTAGTTTATTGGTGCTCAAAATGTGCTACTATGATATGATCTTCTTAGAGCTGACTACAATGCTGTTGATGTGGTCTTACTTATACTGAGCACTAGGATAGAATCACATTTAAATTTTAAAAAACAAGTTTTAGAAATAACCATGCAACCTTGTTGACCAATGATGAAAGAATGGTCAGTGAAACTCCTTTTTCTATTTCTTCTCATGCCAGTTGCTCTTTCATTTCATAGATGTAGAATTGTCCTTTTCATTTTAATGGTGATTCCTGTCACCTCACATATTACCTATTGTATTATTAAATAATATATTTCTACATAAAGACAGAATGTTACTTCAAAATTATGCTTGTTTAGAACTTAGATAATGTTAAAGATTAGAGAGCCTTTAATGCTAGCTTGCTGAGGTTGTCTTCTGAACTTTTTTTTAATGGAAAATTAGAAGTGTACACATAAATGCACTCAAGGAAATATATTGTCAAATAAACATTAGGCTTTATTCTGTGGCCTTTTGACTTTCCTACTGTATGTTTGCAAGAGAGCAAAATAATTTATATCAGACTGTTTATTTTTTATAACAATGTTTTCTGCTATTTCTTCTCTTTGATCTTTTAATATCTTTTTTCTCTTGTTTGCTAGCAACTAATTTTTGTCTCTGTGTATAACTAATAGTCATTTGTGTTATTATGGTGATAACCACTGGTAAAAGGTACAGCTGGTCAACCGTAGGCTTTCTTCTTGATGAATTTAACAGACACAGGCTCCTGATGGAAGCAGATGGTCCATTGTTTGTAATCTCTGGGAAATGCCAGTGTGTCTGTGAGCAGGACCATATCCTTAATACCAACTCCAGAATTTTGATCGGAACAGCTGGGTTTGAATTGCATTGGGATTTTCAAGAGCACCCAAGTCCTTCCTATCTAATACATTAGCCTGTTGAGAAGACTACCATTTGAATATGGTCTTTTACTATATCTGCCAAGTGTGGAAATGATACTCTCAGTTAAGGCTGTCTGAGCAAATATCTTGCAGATAAAGGGCTTAGTACCGTGTTAGAATAACATGCTGACCCTTTACTATCAGGTTATCTATATTGGAATTGTAGAAATGAGAGTTCATTTGGAGAATTCAAAACCGAACTTAATTTCCCTCAACATGTTGGCATTGTCATGTAACTTGTTTTAAGACATCTGCACTCAGAGAAGCTAGAAAAATAAGGGAAGAGAAATTTGTGTCAGCCAGCAGTAACAAAAACAGTAGCAAATTGGATTTTGGTTAATAACCAAAGGATAAGGTGCAGTTGTATAGTTAATCCTTCATTGAGTTCTGTAACTTTTTTTCATCTCCTTTAAGTCTTTATAGGTTTAGAGAAAGAATTATATTGTTGAAAGCTTTTTGTGTACCTTAAAATTATCCTTTGGTTTGTGTATTTTTTAATATCATATAATGACTTTTTTAAACAGATAAAAGATTTGATACAGACAACAGAAGCGATGATGTTTATTGAGGAAGTATATTTAAGCCTTTTGCGTCATCCTGTTTTCTGGAAAATTCAGCTTACCCAGATGACTCTTCAGCTGCTGTGTGTCTGTGAAGTCAGCTTAAAGATAACTGGCGAATGTTCATCTTTAATTCACCTTTTAGAGCACTGTGTTGAACTTCTGAAGGAGGTAAGGATAGTAGTATATTATACTGTTCATGCATTGCTATAAAGAAATACCTGAGACTTGGTAATTTATAAAGAAAAGAGGCTTAATTGGCTTACAGTTTGGCAGGCTGTACAGGATGCATGGTGCTGGCATCTACTTAGCTTCTGGGGAGGCCTCAGGAAACTTACAATCATGGCGGAAGGTGAAGCAGGAGCCAGCACTTCACATGGCTGGTGCAGGAGTGAGAGAGAGGAGTGGGGAGATGCTACACGCCTTTAAACAATCAGATCTCAATCACTATCACAAGAACAGCACCAGGAGGATTGTGCTAAACCATTAATGAGGAACACCTTTGTGATCCAGTCACCTGCACCAGACCCCACTTCCAACATTGGGGATTACAGTTCAACATGAGATTTGGGCAGGGCCAGAGATCCAGACCATATCAGATAGACATTTTATTGTGTCAGTTATCACTCAAGTGAGTCTTTCAATAACTGGGTGGATGTGCTCATTTAGTTTGCGTATCAGAGGCATTTTGATCTAATACCATTAGAGCATATTGCTATTGCACTACTACTAATATCATTTGTTAGAAAAAGAAATCATTAAAATACTCTTCAGATCATCATTTAAAGATCACCACTGTGACTTTTTTTTTTCATTTATTCATGCAGAACACAAGTATTGAACATGTACTATATGCCAGGCTTTATAGAATACATAGATGAAAAGGTAAATTCTATGACCTCAAGAGACTTACAGAGATGCAATAACTAAATTATAGTACAATAAGAGAAAAGATTTTATGGGAGTATATTTAAAGTGTAATGGGAGAACAAGTTTCAGGAGGTAGGGCATGAGTTGAGATTTGAAGACTGAATGGAATGTGCCTGGTACAAGGGCCTGGGAAGGGCATTCCAGCTGTTGAACAGCATGTGCCCAAATAAAGAAACATGAAAGAGTAGTCAGGCTTGGCTTATTAAAAAAAAAAAAACAAAAAAACAAGAGGATGTTTGATATTGCTGAAGGGTTAAGATGTGGCAAATAGGGCTGGGCCTGTCTTCTATGCCACGCAAATGAGTTTACATTTTATCCTGTATGCTGTTTGAGACCTTTCAGCAGATCTCATTTTTTAATGTGTGGAAGATCTTTCTTGTAGGTGGGTGGAGAAGAGTTTGGGGCCACACACCACTAATAGGGTAGGAAGTGAGGAGGAAGTCTTAGGCAGTTAGGGCTGCCACAGACTGGGTGGCTTAACCAATAAAAATGTATTTATTAGTCGGGTGCAGTGGCTCATACCTGTAATCCCAGCACTTTGGGAGGCCGAGGCGGCAGATTATTTGAGGTCAGGAGTTTGAGAGCAGCCTGACCAACATGGTGAAACTTCGCCTCTACTAAAAATACGAAAAATTAGCTGGGTGTGGTGGTACATGTCTGTAATCTACTCGTGATGCTGAGGCAGGAGAGTGCTTGAACCCGGAGGCAGAGGTTGCATTGAGCCGAGATCGCGCCACTGCACTCCAGCCTGTGTGACACAGCAGGACTTTGTCTCAAAATACATAAATAAATGAATAAAATTATTTCTCAGAGTTCTGAAGGCTGGAGAGTCCAAGCACGGGGTGCTGGCTGATTCTGTTCTTGATGAGGACTCTTCCTGGCTTGTAGCTGGCTTTCCTCGCATGGTAGGGAGAGTATGAGCTCTCTGGTGTCTTTTCTTATGAGGACACTATCCAGATTGGATTAGGGCCCCACCCTGATGACCTCACTTAACTTTAATTACTTCCTCACTCCAAATACAGTCACATGAGTGTTAGGGCTTCAACAAATACATTTTGGGAGGACACAGTTCAGTCCATAGTGAGGGCCTAATGAGGGAAATGGAAGTGGGAAAAGGGAGACACAGAAGATAGAATCAGTAGGGCTTTATAATTGATTAGATGGTCAAGGAGAAGGTTCCTTGATAGAATCTCAGCTTTCTATTTTGGGCTACTGGATGATGCCATTTACTTTGAGAAATGGTAGCTGATGTTGGAAGGAAGATGATTAATTTTATTTCAGATATACTTGACTCGAGGTATGTATGGATCATAGATAGTTGGATATATGGTTTTAAAATTCAGGCTAGACGTCTAGGCTAAAGGTGTACATTTGTAGACATTAACTTTGGGGTGGGGATTTTAAACATGGGATTGGATGACAGGGCTTGTGGTGGAACTCTGGGGTGGTTGTTATTTGGAATTTACTGATAAAGAGGAGTCTGAGAAAATATGTCTAGAAGGATCATATATAACCAGCAGAGACAGATGACAAGAAAATCAAGGGAAGGAATATCTCAATAAGGGGGAATGGTCAACAGTGTCATGTGTCATAGAGCAATGATGTAAAAGTAAGGGATGGAAAGTATTCTCAGGATGTAGCACATAAAAGCTTATTTTTAACATTAGAGGGAGCAGTTTCAGCAGAGTGGTGGTGGTGGTGGCGGTGGTGGGGAAATTGGAATTAAGGGAGTGTGAATGGCAGGTGAGGAATTGAGAGAGTAAATGTAGATTTTGATGGAAGATGGGAACCCAGGAAGACTCAAGTATTATAAGTCATTTGTCAATTTGCCAATCTTATGATTAGAATGATTTTACATATACTGGGACTCTAAATAACATATTTTTCTACTGTATACTTATATATGTATCTTATGTATAGTAGATATATATAATATATATCAGGTATAATTATATCTTACATATATAATTATGTTATATGTCATATAGATAGTATATAAATACATATAGATAGATGTTTTATAGTTAAATATTATACAGAAAGATATTTTATAGATCAGTGTTATGTAGATAAATTGCCAGTTCTGTTAACTGTAAACATAATACCCATGGGTAAACCCCATATTTTTTCCTGTACTTTTAGTAGATTCATATGAGTAGCAATTATAATTTCATAGAGTTTAGTCCTTTTTAGTATAATTCTCTGACCATTTTTTTGTATATTTCCCCCCCACCCTTAGCATATATTTGTTAAGCAGATGCCTATGGCAAACACTTTGCTATGGCAATTAGTTGAAAGCAGACAAGGTTCATGAAGCTCATGTTTTAGTCAAATGGTTCAAACTAGTGTGCATAAAAATCACTAGGCAGAGTCTGTTAAAAATGCACATGCCTGGGCCTTATCCCTAATGATATTGAATTAGCGGGTCTAAGTGCAGCCCAAATATCTCTATTTTAAAGTAGCACCCACAGGGGATTTTATCATTTATTTTGCACATAAGGCAGATAGCACATAGATCAAAACATAGAACTTTGAAACCATCACACAGATCAAGAAATAGAAGTTTCTAGCCACCACAGAAGTTCTCCACAAGCCCAGTCCTAATCATAACCTCCTGTTTCCCCTGACTATTCTGACTTCTGTGGTAACCACTTCCTTACATTTCTTTATACTTTTATCATCTCAGTGTGTATCTCTAATCATCATAATATGTTTTGGGCTATGTGTGTGTGTGAGATCTTTTAAGTTTCTTTCCAATTAAAGTTCATCCCCTTTCGTTTCCTCCCCCACTTTTCTTCCCTGCAGTTTGTGTACTGAATAACCTGGCTTGTGTGAGCTGGAGAGTTTCCTATCTTCTGGATTTTGCTGATTGCATCCATATGGTGCACTTTAATACAGTGGTCCCCAATGCCTGGGTCACAGACTGGTATCGGTTCCTTGCTTGTTAGGAACTGGGCCACACACAGGAGGTGAGCAGCCCAGTGAGCCAGCATTACTGCCGGAACTCCGTCTCCTATCAGATCAGCCGATGCATTAGATTCTCACAGGAGCATGAACCCTATTGTGAACTGTGCATGTGAGGGATCTAGGTTGTGTGCTCCTTATAAGAATCTAAATAATGCCTGATGATCTGAAGTGGGACAGTTTCATCCCGAAACCATTCACTGCCCCAGATGTGTGGAAAAATTGTCTTCCATGAAGCCAGCCCCTGATGCCAAAAAAGCCGGGGACCGCTGCTTTAAAGTGTTTCGCTGTTCAAAGGTAGTTAGCTCTAAAGGCTTGTTTGGATTCAGGATATTTTGGTTTTTGTTTCCAAGACCACAGGGGGTGGTGTGTTCTGTCATCAAGAAGCACAATGTGTGTTGCTTTTCTTTTTATGATGTTAGTAGTCGTTGATACTCAATGCCTAGTTCTGTTAATTAGGAGTTGCAGAGTGGTAATGTTCTAATCCTGTCATTTCTTCTTCATTTATTAGCTGGAATACTTCCATAAAAAGAACCCTCCTCCCCCAACAGCCTACTAGTTGGTTATCCAGTAGTAAAGGAAAGTTAGGATAAATGCTTTACTCTTTTGCGTTTTTCTTTACTAACTTTAAAAAGTATTATGAATTCATGAATTTAAACATATTTGATGCACTTTAGTCTATCATAGATATTATCCTTATTGAATTTTAAATTGTCTTATTTTGGTCACTGGGAATCCATTAATATAAAGTTGGCTCTTGAGTCTAATTTTTAAAATGTTTTTGGTTATAATGTAGAGTCACAGGATACTAATGTCATTTAGAAGAATGAAAAGATTTTTGATGAGGGAAAGTCCTATTTATGTCTCTCATTTGCCCAATATTTTTAAGTTTTAGAAGGAAATAACAACTAGTAGAACTGTTGAAATATTTGTGTTATGAAGTTTTCTGTCCCCCATCCCCATCTTAGTGTTCCTGAGGTTAAAAAAGTGGGCCTAGGAAAATTAATTTGCAAACATATACTATAGGTCTATATGTACTATAATTTGAAATAAAATGAAGTAGAATGAAGCAGTCTTATGTATTTTGACACCATACCCACATTTCTGTATCACTGGGTTTATCAACTGGATGTTTTGTTCAAATATTATATTAACTTTTTCCCCACTCTGTTCTCTTTCTACTCTTATATTAGAGTTGTATCATTGTATATTGAAAATGGATTTATTTCTTAGGCTGCATTAGTTTTTGTGGATTTGGTCTTAGTTGAGCCATTTTTAGCTTGATTAGAATAATAATAATTTAAGGTCCTTTACATTTCAAGCAAAATAAATGCACCCTGACCAGCAAAATTAGGCAAAAATGATGCACATTGGGAGGAGATTGAGTAGCTCTCAAAGTGAAGAATGAGTGAAACATTTCAGCATTGGGAAGGGTCGGAAACTTGTGGTTTCTAAGACACTACTAGCTGATGACTCAGTTCCAACCAACTTTCTTCACTGTGTGTCTAAGTTTTCAGATTTTGTAGGAAAAATGATCTGTTTGGCCCATCTTAGCTTGATGAAGCTCTGGCCAGGGGAACAGAGTACGTAGCAAAGTTATGGCACTGGAGCATTGTGTGAGTTGGGCCACCATCTTTGTTTTGTCTGCTACCTTCTCATGCCTTGTTTTCTCTTTAAAAATACTTTTCCATGACTTTACTGTAAAATCCCTGAGAAAAGGGACTATTTTGTCCACAGTGGCATTTGTAGACCCAGCTTATGTACTTACTGCCTGGTACATAGGTGGTGTTTAGTGCTATTTTCATTTGACTTGAGGACAAAAAATGTGGACTCCAGGTTGTTTTCTGTTACTGGGACTCCTCCAACATCTGTGACTGAGTATAAAGGCATTTACTCATTTTTTTTTTCTGTATTTTATTTCATTTTTAAAAAAATTCTTCTTTTATTTTATGTATTTTATTTCCTTCTTTTATTGTATTTTTATTTATTTATTTTATTTTCAGGCTGTGAGTTGGCCTGAGTTTCCCTAAAGGCAAAAGTAGAGACTGGGTTCCCACAAAAGCAAAGGCTTATATGACTGGAATTAATCTGCCAATGTGATCCCAGCAAGCAGCTAGAGAGGGAAAAGAGGAGTGAAGTATGGAAGGTGGGAGAGGCAATACAGGCATCATCAAGTAGGCTACTGCTACGAGCAACTAGTTGCTTGATCCCACAGAATCTTCTGAGAAGCCTTATGAAAGAAGGATCTGGAATTAATGGGAAAGCATTTATCTATTGGGTACTATTGCCGATTTGTCAGCTTTGGCCTATGGGGCTTTAACTTCCTTGTACTTCTAGAGTGCGCTGTTCTGGGGCAGGAAGCAAGAGGTGTATGGTGGGGACTTAGGGGACAACCATTAGGTTGCACCTGTGCAGAACCAGTTACCACAGCAGTAGCTGTAGCATTTGAAGTGTGCAAATGGGATGTCCAACACTGGGTTTTATTAAAAGATCTTATTAAATGGTACCATCCTTTGGTGTCCATTAAAAATCAATCAGTCAAAAAACTTGTAACCACTAAACTTGTAAGTAGTTTAAGATTTATGTGATCTAATCCTCCACCAATTACTTTTCCTTAGTTTTGATCTTGAATCTCCACTCTTTTCCTTTCACCCTCTATTCTGAACAGGCCAGTCTCACCCTTCCTTGAGAAGGCCATTTTCATTTTTGCCTTCATACTTTTAAGTTCCATCCACTTAATAAAAATACTTCTATTCCATTTCAGAACTCTAAAAAGCTACTTTATGGCCCTTGCAGTAATAGCTTGTGTGAAAAAGGCTTTCCAATAATAGTGTTACTATATAGCAGTGCTTTTCTTTGTTGTTGATTCTCTTGGAATCTAGTGAATCTGAAGTTTAAATGGTGTTGTTGGTTTTCCTTTTGTTTTTTATGGACATGCAGAAATTGAAATGAAATTGGGGAAGATATAGCAAAGAATGGTGTGATAGTATATACTGTAAGTGTGTTGGTTTTGAAATGCATGTATTATCCTCAAATAGATAAGAGTGCTTCATTGTTCTCAACTCTATTTCGAAACAGTGAACACATATATTCCCAAAATACATAGATTGGAATATATCCCGTTTTTAAAAATTCACGAATTTTTTTCTTTTGCTGTTTTGTTTTTCAAAAGTCCATAAACAAGCACATGAGAGGATTTTGTAGGTGAATTTCACTCTTCGAATGATAAAACTGAGATTTTAGAGGGTATTTGTTAATTGATAGTATCTTCAAGATTATAACTTCTGAGTGTGCCAGACTGTATTGTTTTCACTCAGGCAGGTGGTCCTTTAACATGTGGCTCTAACTCACAGATTTCCTTATTTTCCTGTTGTTTTTGTCGTTGTTGTTGTTGTTGTTTGCGTGTGTGTGTGTGGTTTTTTTTTTTTTTTTTTTTGCCTGTCTTTATTATTCATAGGTACTTCTGCTCTGCAGGCACTTCTGTAAACTTCAGAATAGTCATTTTAGCTAAACCTTTCTTCTTTAGTACCATAATACATTAAGATTTACTTTATTTAGAAACCTCAAATAACATGTCATTTGTGTTTTATTAATGTTTATTAAAGCCTAATATACATGTCTTTTTTTTTTGTTTTGTTTATATACTTGGTTATTTCTATGGTCATTGCTCTGCTACATTTAATGCTTAATGAATTACGGTAATTTGAAAATAATCTCTACCTCCCTGGCACTAATATTTCTTTTATTATAACATGATTTACTAAATTTGTTTAGTGTAATTCTTTATGCAAGTTATATAGATGGATCATGTCTGTATTAGGTAAGTAGGATATTGAACCAGTTTACAGAAATGAAATATTATTAAATTTAGTATTTTAGGCAACTTTCAATGGTTTGCAAAGATTGACTGTTTAGAAGACTTGCTGATCTGCTGTGTTGAGTTTTCCCTCTGAATTATTTGGTGTATAGCTTCTTGCTTTTTGGCCATATAATACAACATTTTGAATTTATGTGTAAGTGTGTGGCATCGACCAATTCTTTCTCTTTTTTTTTTGAGATGGAGTCTCGCTTTGCCACCCAGGCTGGAGTGCAGTGACTGCAACTTCCGCCTCCTGGGTCAAGCAATTCTCTGCCTCTGCCTCCTGAGTAGCTGGGATTACAGGTGCCTGCTACCACTCCCGGCTAATTTTTTTGTATTTTTTCAGTAGAGATGGAGTTTCACCAAGTTGGCTGGGCTAGTCTCAAACTCCTGACCTCGTGATCCACCCACCTCAGCCTCCCAAAGTGTTGGGATTACAGGCGTGAGCCGCCGTGCCTGGCCGACCAATTCTTTCTTTAGTAGAGCACACTTGCTGTATAAATAAATTTGTGTAATAGGCTTGCAGTCTTTCATATTAAATATATTCTTCCTGGATACATGTTACAAAGCCATGGTTCTGGGAACTTCTTTAACAATTCCTTTTTCCCCCTCTATCCTTTTAGGATTTTCCTGTTGAACTGATCATAATTGGAATAGCTTTACTACTTCTACAGACTCCAGCAAGTCAGCAGAAGCCAATCTTAAATCTAGGTAAATAAAAATACAGTCACTAGAGTAAAATGTAGATATAACATGAGTATTGACAGGATTCACTTGAACTATGTATCATGCTATCCTGTGTATTTTGAGTTTCCATCTGTAATTTTTAAAATTATAAAATAGAATTTTTTTCTTGTCTAATTAGGTGTTACCTTGTGCAAGCTTTGATATAACATAATTTACCAAGTATCTCGGCTGCATGTTAGAAGGTTATAATCTAACCTTATATAGTAGTAACATTCAGGAATATAGTGAATGGCATATCACCTTACTGAGCATTGTACAGCAAAATGGAAAGCTTTAGTATAACATCCTTGAAAGAAAAGTGTTTAGTAGTTGTAGTTATTTTAAAACACTCCATACCTTTACTATTCAAAATGTGCTACATTGAACAGAATTTAACTTATGGTTATTGCTTTAATCTAGCTAGAACAAATGAAAGATAATATTCTTTCGACAGTCCAGTATTGATTTAAAGAAAAGTGAAGGAGGGGGCCAAGAGAGGCAAAAATGTTCTAGTTAAGAAGAATGTGGTAAAGAAGCTAGTTGCCCTATCTGGCAGATTGGTAAACAAGTCATACTTTTAAAATGTGGCTTTTACATTGGTGTTGCCTCACTTTACTTGGTCTGATCCAAAATAATCCACATAACAATGAGAGCTCTAAGTTATGCTGTGTAGTGCCAGTATATGTTAATATACTGCCATTCTTATTTTTAAAAAGTACATGAGAGGCCAGGCGTGGTGGCTCATGCCTGTAATCCCAGCACTTTGGGAGGCTGAGGTGGGTGGATCACCTGAGGTCAGGAGTTCGAGACCAAGCCTGGCTGATATGGTGAAACCCTGTTTCCACTAAAAATACAAAAAAAATTAGCTGGGCGTGGTGGTGCACGCCTGTAATCCCAGTGATTTGGGAGGCTGAGGCAAGAGAATCACCTGAACCTGGGAGGCAGAGGTTGTAGTGTGCCAAGATCATGCCATTGCACTCCAGCTTGGGCAACAAGAGCGAAACTCTGTCTCAAAAAA